GCAGGCCACAGCGCGGCATCCGGCACGGCGGCTCCGCACCCGAATCCTAACCAGCCGCTGGGGGACGGCCCCGCCGCCCGCGGTCACCGCCCGGGCCCGGACCCGGACCCCACACCGCAGGTCCCGAGCGGGGGCCTCGCCCGCGGCCTCGCCGCGCCGGCACCTGGAAGGGCTCCCGGCGCCGGAGGGGGCTTCGACGGCACTGTCCCGGTCACGCCGCCTCCAGTCGCCTCCTCTCCGAGATGCAGACGTGACTAAACTACAGGTCTACTCCGAGTCCCTTCGGCGAGCGGCGCCCGGTGACCTCCGGGACAACGTCCACCTCCTCAGACGCGCGGCCCGTTCGCCCGGCGCCTCAGGCCCGCCCCCGCCGGCGGCCCCTCCCCGCGCCCCCGGGTCTCCGTACCGTCCAGCGCACACAGCAAGCTCTCAATGGACGTCTCCCGGAGCCGCGACCGACTCCCGAACAGCGAGGACCAGCCGCCCGCGCGGCCAAGCAGTCGCCAGCCCCGGCCGCACGCCGGCGCCCTCTCGGACTCCGTATGCTCAGTGGGCAGGGCCGGGGCCGCGCCGCCTGGCGTCATCGCTCCGCGCCGTCCCCGTCGCCTGGGAAACGCGGACGCGTCCACCGCAGGGGCTGCTGGGGGGCCACGCCCACGAACGAAGAAGCTTTACCCTGGAAGCTCCCGGGCGTCATTCGCCTCTCCCTTGAGGCCTGGCTGCGTGACTCAGGGCGAGTCGCTGCCCTTCTCTGAGCGTCACGTTCTGAGATTCGTTTTACCCCAGAGCTTCTCGAAGTGTGCCCTGTGCACCACCCTGCATAAGAATCCCTGGCGTGTTTGTTTAACATGAAGATTCCTGGGACGTACAGATTCCTGAGCTACTGAGCAGAAGCTGCAGCAAGTGTAATACAAGAGTAAAAAATACATACTTCACAAAGTCCGGGCTGGCTCAAGAGTTACCACAGGCTGTTAAAGGCAAGTTTAACACAAAAAGTAAGATATACACACCCAAAAGGCGAAATACAGGCTGGCTCCAGTAGAGCGAGCAACAGCCCCACCTTCTTCCTGGATTCAACTTTTAGAGTTTGGCTATCTATACATATTCATGTTATCTATTAATATTTAACTAAGGGGAGGGGTCCCTGGTTATGTAACCTAGTCTCACACATGCTCGGTTGGTATCTTTGGAGAATGCTCACTGGCCAAATTCCATGACAGTCACTGAATTCATTTAGAATATTCTAGTACTCTGTAGCTCCTCCAGTGGGGGTCCTTCAAGGGATAAACTCCTTTTTACCAAGCATGCTCAGCCAGCGAGATTACACAAATCGGCTTCCTGTGGTCTTAATCTCCACTTGCTGGTACTGAGAATAGGTGCTATAAGCAACAGAAGCTCAGGACACAGAGAAGGGGTGTGAGTCCTAAGGGAGTGACTGAAACCCAACCCCAGGACAGCTGAGCACCTCCTATCTCAAAAGTGAGCACTGGTTGCCCATAGCAGTAACCAACTCAATATTCCATCCTTTGTTTCTGTCTCACATTTTCCACTTCCTCACTCCTAGATTTTGAGGTACTAAATAGCAAGCTGACAAAGTCCTTGCTATTCTAGGGAAGCCAGCAAGGCTGGCATCCCTTTTGCCTACTTGCCCCTTCTCCCTCCCCTTGAGGTCCGACCTTTGATTGAAACCAGGACCCTGGAAGCTTTGTAAATGAGAAACTTAAGTTCTTATTTTGTTGATAAGCAGTTAGCTATGAATCTCGAAGCACTGTGGCAGCTGAAAATGTTCTATAAATAGCTTGGTACCAGACGTAACTGATTTAATCAGTACCATTTGTTATTTTCACTGGCTTATAAAAAGGAACCTAAAATAAACAAGGATGCCTTACAGGTCAGCATCCTGTAAGGTCCTCCTGACCCCATAAAGTGTGTCTCTTCATTTCCCACCATCTCCCCTTGGGTACTGGTTGACAACACTACATCTTGGGATCAGCTCCATATTTAATTATCTGCACCCAAATCCTTGGGATCTAAACTAAGACATGTACATTTTATGAAATTTACAGAGACACAGTCAACAAGACTTGACAATTTACCATATATAGAACAAGAAAGAAGGAAAAGTCAAATGCTTTCCATTTAAAAGGAACTGAAAGATGGAGAGGGCAGTTATAGGGAAGAGAAAGATAAGCTCAGTTTTAGAGATGTGGTAGGTCTAAGATACTGGTAGGACATCTGTGTGGGGATGCTCAGCTGATGTTTGAAAATTCTGTTTACTCCTGTTCTACTCTGAAATATCTTCTTAATTCTATGACATTTTTCTTCATAGTTATCACTCATTTAAAACAGTCTTATAACTATAGGTATCAGTGGGACCTTCCTGTTGCAAAAGCAGAAGGAAGATATTATCAGACTCAATGGGTCTGCCTTCCAGAGGGTATATTCCAAACAAACTCTTATGATGTCAGAGGTAGAGTCTGGGAAGCTGGATAGTCGGCTTCAATCCACCCAGTCCTCTTACTAGGTTCTTGCCTCCACCACAGGAAAGAATTCAAGGGCAGAGTCACAGTAGAAAGTGAGAACAGGTTTAATATAACAGATAAGAAATACAGGTTCAACAGAGAGACTGCAGCCTAGCACCAGAGACTGAGCCAGGCCCACACCAAGTTTAACACAAAAATACATTCAATGCAGACATCAAGACTAAAACAAAAGCAAGAAATACATACTGAAAGTTCAGTACAAAATGCAGGCTGGCTCAAGAGAGTGAGCAGCCACTTGCCGAAAATAAGTTCGATACAAAGTAAAGTACACAAACCTCAGTAAGCAAAGTGCAGGTTGCTTCCAGGAAAGTGAGCAGCAACCCTACCTTAGGCTAGGATTCTGCATTTATAGTTTATCTAATGAATATTCAATTAAAGGGTTGGTTCCCAGTTATGAAACATTTAGTCTTGCACATGCTCAATTGGTCTCTTCTTGGAGCATGTTCATTGGTCAAATCCCATCACATGAACCAGGCATATTCCAAAATATTCTGTGCTCTCTGTGGACCATGCCCAGCCACTAGATTTGCATAAACCAGCCCCATGTGGTCTCATTTCCCCCTGTATTGGTGCTAAAAATAGTTATAACTGGCAACAGTAACTTTCCTCCAGGGGAGAGCCCAGAGGAAGGGGACTGAGACCTCAGGGAGTGGCTGGAAACCCAGAGGCGTGTCCTGAAACTTGAACCTAGGGAAACTGAGCATCTCCTATATCACTACCAAGATCAGATAGGAGAAAGAAAAACTATTATTTGCAACAAGTGAGGAGAACACCAGGGATAGTTCCTAAAGCAGTTGTCTCCCTATAGAGAAAGTTACAGCCTCTTTTATTTTTGTATTCTTATTTTATTTAATTTTTTCGCAGCTGAGTAATACAGAGAAGCCTCTTTTATTTAGTACAAACATGAATGTGCAAAGATCTTGTTTAGATTACCACATGTAGAGATGGGATTTCGGCACATGCTCAGTTTCACATCATGCCTGTTCCTTCATACAACCATGTTATGTTAATGAAGCTCAGGCTCCTCCTTGGATGGAGAATTCAGCATTATAATGAGCAAAGTTTACCCAAATTCAGCTCTTCAGCCCCTGAAGCTTGAACCTCAACTGATCTGGTTTTATTTGTTTTGCTGTTTTTGTTTTATTTTATGATTTTTCTTGGCTGGTAAGGTGATCCAAACCTTTGACCTTGGTGTTACAACATCATGCTCTAACTAACTGAGCTAACCAGCCAGCCCTGATTTTGTTTTAGCCAGTCTTGTTTGCTAGGGGTTTGTTACTTGTTTCCTGGAGTAGGCTATTCTGAAAAATAAGCTGGAACATAAACAGCTATCAGTGATCATTAATTACATGGTCTTTACAGTCTTTTCTCCCCTTCTGTCTGGCTACAAAGAGACTGAGGGACAACCTAGAGCCCTGCAGGTGCCCTGCTAAGTAGCCAAAACCAATCATCAGACTAGGCAAGCGTTTCCAGCCAGGGGTCTGTGGCATTGTTGCAAGGGGTCCTTGTGTCCGTAACTAAGACATCAAAATTTGTTTCTTACTCAGTTTCCTCTTTGCCTTCCCAGGAAAGTTCCATTAACAAGCCATTCTCATGAAACTGTTGATCCTGGCATAGTTGGCATAGTTCAGTCAAGACCATAAGACCTTTCTTCTTGCCCTGTTCCTTAAGATAACATCTCTGATGGCAATGTTGCCAATTGTTTGTCTAAGATGTTTTTCAGGACACTTGGAGTCAAGCCAGTCTAAACTGACTGTGCCCACAGACCTCTCTTCTGAGCTTGTGTGGATGTCTGATGGGTGACCTTTTGGCATCAGTGGGCCAAAAACTCCACCTCCAGATCATGCTTGTTAGGCAATTATGTTTTAGCCGATGTCTAAGACAGCAGCGGGTGGATGGGAGGAACACCCAAAATGGCTGCAGAGAGTTTCAGGTCCCTAGAACAGACACGTTTTCCGAGAACCACAAAAAATCCCTCCCCCTTCTTCACCACCACATCCCCTTCCCATGCACACGAATTTCTCCACCTATAGAAAAACCCCAACTCAGCTTAAACCCTGCTCGCTTCCCTCCCCTTCCTTCTTAGCCAGTAAGAACAGTCCAGCTCAGCCTGACTAGATATAAAAGGCCCAGCCGGACTCTCGGGGCTGCTGCTCCCACTCTCGAGAGGGCAGCCCGCTTGTTCATTTTGCCTGCCTAATACACTTTGGTTGAGTCTCTGTCTCCTGGTGTGTTTCTTTTGCATCCGGGCCGGGCAATTTCCTTTCAATGCTAATGCTACCATTTTTGACCCATGAAGAAGTGTGCAAATAGCTTGCACCTGCACAGATAGTTGAAGAACTTCCTCGAACCCTTTATTCAACACTGTCCTACACAACTCTCACCACCTGTTACCTACTCCCCATAAATGTCTCTAGCTTCCTGCCATTGAGTAGGCAGATTTAAGAGTATTCTGCTGCCTACTTGCTTGGCAGCCTCTCAAATAAACCTTTTTCTCTGCTGCAAAAACCAGTGTCTCACCTTAATGGCTTGCTGTGCATTGAGCAACAAACCACATGCAGTTACAACTGTGTAACTATCTAAAACTAGCTGTAACCATCTAAAACTAGCTGAAACAGGTTTTATTTTACTATCTCACATTATTTCAAAGGTATCTTGCAGGGCATAAACTGAGCATGCACCCAAAGAGAGCCTTGTCCTCCAGATGACCTCGGGAACCTGAAAATTCTCTACCAAAGTGCTGAATCCAGATTAGACCAATCAGAGGACTGGATTCAGGATTGACCAATCAGTCAAAAGTTTGGAGCCCTGAACCAGCCAGCCATCACAAAAACAAACAAGCAAGCAAGAATCAACCAATCAACTCCTGATCTCATCAGCCAGTAAGGCCTTTT